TTTGGAGAATTTGGGTGGATTTTTGTGGATTTGGGTGGATTTAGGTGGATTTTGGAAGATTTGGCAGATTTTGGTGGATTTGGGTGGATTTTGGAAAATTTTGGAGGATTTGGGTGGATTTGTAGGATTTGGGTGGATTTGGGGTGGATTTTGGAGGATTTTGTAGGATTTGGGTGAAATTGGGTGGATTTCAGGGGATTTTGGGTGGATTTTCGTGGATTTTCGTGGATTTTGGAGGGTTTTGGAGTATTTTGAAGGATTTTGGAGGATTTGGGTGAATTTGGGTGGATTTTGGGAGGATTTGGGTGGATTTTGGAGGAATTTGGTGGATTTGGGTGAAATTGGGTGGATTTGGGGGGATTTTGGAGGATTTTGTAGGATTTGGGTGGATTTTGGAAGATTTGGCAGATCTTGGTGGATTTGGGTGGATTTTAGGGGGATTTTGGGTGGATTTTGGGGGATTTGGGAAGAATTTGGAGGATTTTGGAAGATTTGGGTGGATTTTGGGTGAATTTGGGAAGATTTGGGTGCATTTTGGATAATTTAGGTGGATTTGGGGGGATTTTGGGTGGATTTGGGTGGATTTTGGGTGGATTTTGGAGGATTTGGGTGGATTTGGGTGGATTTTGGGTGGATTTGGAGGATTTTGGAGGATTTTGTTGCCCCCCCGAGGGAAGTTCCCCCGCCCGATGCCGGAGTTGGAGATAAAAACGGAGTTTGGGCACCTGGAGATGGTCTGGGGTTTTTTTTTGGGGAAAAATCCCGAAAAATTGGGGTGGGAAGTGAAAATTTGGGAGGAAATGGCAAAAATTGGGGTGGGAATCCTAAAATTGGGAGGGAACCCCAAAAATTGGGGTGGGAATCAAAAATTTGGGGGGGAAATGTCAAAAAATTGGGGTGGGAATCCCAAAAATTGAGGCAGAAATTGAAAATTTGGGTGGAAATCCCAAAAATTGGGAAAAAAATCTCCAAAAATTGTGTAAAAAAATCCCCAAAAATTGGGGGAAAAAAACCCCAAAATTTGGGGAAAAATCCCAAAAATTGGGAAAAAATCCCAAAAATTGGGAAAAATCCCAAAAATTCGTTGGAGATCCCTAAAATCGAGGCAGAAATTGAAAATTTGGGAGAAAAATCCCAAAAATTTGGGGTAAAAATCCCCCCAAAATTGGGTAAAAATCCCAAAAAATTGGGGAAAAAAAAACCAAACCCAAAATTGGGGAAGAAATCCCAAAAATTGGGGAAAAAAATCCCAAAAATTTGGGGAAAAGAATCCCAAAAATTTGCTTAAAAAAACCCCAAAAATTTGAGAAAAACATCCCAAAAATTGGGTGGAGATCCCAAAAATCGAGGCAGAAATGGAAAATCTGGGTGGAAATCCCAAAATTTGGGTGGAAATCCCCAAAAATTGGGGGAAAAAACCCCAAAAATCTGGGAGGGGCGGGGCTGGAAGGTTCCATTGGGATTGGGGGGGGAGAGGCCGGACGGTTCCATTGGCGGGGGGGCGCTGAGGGGGCGTGGCTTGAGTGAGGGGGCGTGGCCTCAATCACCATTGACTTATTACGGAGGGGGCGTGGTCTGTGTGAATGGGCGTGGTCTGCGTGAGGGGGCGTGGCCTCAANTGAGGGGGCGTGGCCTCAATCACCATTGACTTATTACGGAGGGGGCGTGGTCTGTGTGAATGGGCGTGGTCTGCGTGAGGGGGCGTGGCCTCAATTACCATTGACTTATTACGGAGGGGGCGTGGCCTGCGTGAGGGGGCGTGGCCTCAATTGCCATTGACTTAATACGGAGGGGGCGTGGCCTGCGCGAGGGGCGTGGCCTCAGCCCCATTGACTTCAATTAGGGGGCGTGGCCTTGAGGGGGCGTGGCCTGTGGTGGGCGTGGCCGGCGTGGGCGTGGCCAATGGGGTTTAAGCGCGGGCGCGGAGGGGGCGGGGCCAGTCGGGACCCCCCGAGCGCCGCCGCCATGCCCGAGGCCAAGGCCGGTAATTAACGCGCCTAATTAGCGAGGGGCTTAATTAGCGCCGCCCCCAAGGGCCCTGGGGGGGGTTAATGGTTTATTTTAATCGTTTCATTAATTTGGTTTTGTTGATTGCGGTGATTTCATTGGGGTTTCGCGTTGGTTTCTTTAATTAATTGATGGTGGTAATTAATTAGCCGGGGGAATTAATTGGCCCGGCGGTAGTTTAATTATTTTTAATTAATTGAATGTATTCAATTTATTCAATTTTTCAATTTTTTAATTAACTAATGGGGAGAATTAGCTATTTATCAACCATTAATTACCCCTAAATTATCCACTAATTACCCATTAATTATGTATTAATTACCTGTAAATTACACGTCAAATACCCATCAATTACCACCAATTACTTATTAATCATCTGTTAATTACTCATTAATTACACGTTAATTATCCATTAATTACCCCTAATTACTCATTAATTACTCATTAAGTACCCATAAAACATGGATTAATTATACATTAATTACCCATTAATTACCCGTTAATTGCCCATTAATAACTAATTAGTTGCTCATTATTTATATATTAATTACCCTTTATTAACTCATTAATTACCCGTTAATTGCCTATTTATTACTCATTAATTACCAATTAATAACTCATTAATTACCCCGTTCATTACCCATTAATTGCCCCGTAATCACCATTAATTACTCATTAATTACCCATTATTAACTCATTAATAGTTCCTTAATTACTCATTAATTACCCCTAAATTACTCGTTCATTGCCCATTAATCAATCATTAATTACCCATTATTAATTCATTAATTACCCCTTAATTCCTCATTAATTACTCGTTAATCACCATTAATTAATGAGAAGCTGAATTAATCAGGAGGAGAATTAATTAAAACATTCAATTAAATCCTTAATTAACGGAGCTAATTAATGCCCGGGAAGGCAGGGACCAATTTTGGAGTAAAAAATGCAAATTTTGGGGTGGAAAATGCAAATTTTGGGAGAAAAATGCAAATTCTGGGGTGAAAATGCAAATTTGGGGGTAAATATTCAAATTTTGGGGTGAAAAATGCGAATTTTGGGGTGAAAATGCAAATTTGGGGGTAAATATTCAAATTTTGGGGTGAAAAATGCGAATTTTGG